ATATAAAGTGTGCTCCTCTTACCCTTTCACGAGTTCAATGTACAAAGACATTACTCCACTAGAGCGCGTATTGCTTTCGCCTATGCGCATGGAATCATCTAAACATTCATTTTAACCGTTATTATTATGAAATAACGTTTAAGACATTTTTCTAATGCAAAATATACAACATATTGTACAATCAAAACCAGTGTTGTCTTTCGTAGCCTTATTTGGTTTGATAAAAAAAGCATGAAGCAATTCACTTCAACTGATTCTAAGGAAGACTTCAGATTTCTCTTTAAATCCAATATAAATATAATATATATTTATATATAAAAGTATATTAAAATAATAAAAATTTAAAAATAAAAAACAAAAAATGCATTTATTTGTTTCGGCCGAAGTGGCTTAAAGCTAACCAAAACAGTTTCACTTTGCTTTGGTCTAAGCAAAAAATTCGACAAGTTCAACTTCTTTGGCCGAAGCTAAGCGAACTTGATAACACTGAGTCAAAACCGAACTTGATATTACCTTAGCCAATGAGCCAAAACCGTACTTGATATTACTTAGCCAAAACCTCATCTATGGACCAAGTACATAATAAATAAATGGACCTACTTTTGCCCCAAACCCTATTCATGTGCCCCAAAGTGGAAGCAATATGTGCACTACAAAAAACAAAAAGAAGAGAAGGGCAACATCTTTTCAAAGAAAAGTAGAGGTTTCTCCCTCATGGCTTCCTTGGAACATGAGGGTCCATACTGATTCAAAAAACACTTTTGAGGCATTTACATGGCCATGTTTGCCAATCATTCAAAGAGTACAATAAATTAGATAAAGATATGGTAGCCCATAATTAAGAGAGAGAGTCACTACCTAAATTCCTTCTCATCCCCTCTCACTTTAATATCAAGGGTAGGAAAAGAAGCAACAAATGCACACTCATTAACTATGAGCCTTCTTTTTTCTTCTTTCACTTAAAATATTAAGGGTAGGGGTGGTTGGCATGATCTAATAATATCAAACCATAGAGAGAGACCAACTCCCAAAAGGAGGCAAAGCATAAACACATATAATAAAAGAGAGCACTTCATAAGGAAACAATAAATGAAAAGTCAAGGGAGCAGGGGAACTGAGACCTTGTAGATCATAGTTGTGTGGTCGACTTAAGAGAGAGATTAGGTCATTATAGCGTAGTTAGCAAGTCGGGGATTATCAATTAATCGGATTCATTATGAGATCGGAAATTAAATTTTTTTATTTTAAAAATTCGGATAAAATA